TTTCCCCTAAATTTGTAGTTTTTCGCTTTTAAAGAGTAGAATTCATAGTAAAGAACATAATTACCAAGTTACATAACGATCCCTTAATTTCTTTAGAAGTTATAATCGTTTTTTTAATTTTTTTGAGGGGCATTCTATAATAATTTTACGCTTTTTTTCATAAATTTGTATTTTTTCAAAAAGGATAACTATATCAATACATTATAATTAATGGATTCAATAATATATCGAGTTTGTAAGATTTTATTATGATTTATGGATAAGTATTAAATTAATGAGTGTGACATTTACAATTAGATGTCCGTGCAAGCATAAATCTGCATCTCGTTATGTATACATACATATATCTATGTACATATACATATATATATATATATATATATATATATATATATATATATATATATACATGTGTATAATCTGCGTTTGGGTTCACTGCGTCAGTTGTAATAGAGATGTATACGAATGAAATACAGCAAAACTGAGAGATAGTCACCCACTGATACCTCTTAACGGAAAATGAGTAATACTCTTTATTATAGCCTTTTTACTAAATTGATTGTCTCTTTTCTTCTCTTTTTTAAATTGTAAATTAAAAAAAAAAAAAACTTTTTAAATGTTTCCCATTTATAATTCAATTTTAATTCATTATACTAATTTTCAAAAACAAATTTCTTTTATACAAAAAATTATTATGCAATGCGTAAAATTTAAGAAACAAAAAAAAAAAAATTATTTTTTTGTCCAACAATAATTTGTTTAATTTTTCCTGTAGAATTTTTATTAATTCGAATTTTTTTTTTTTTATGTGAATTTTACAGAATTTCTATTTGATCGAAATTTTATTTGTCTAAATTGGAGAACTGTTATATTTAGGTTCTTTTCTATAAATTGCAAGCTTTAAAGGCGAAAAAAAATTGAAATTTTGGAAAAAAACGTAAAATTGTTATGGAATGACCCCAAAAAAATCCAAAAAAAACTGTTATAACTTTTAAAGAAATTAGTGAATCGTTATGGAACTTGGTGATTGTGTTCTTTACTATTAATTTCACTCTTTCATGTTAAAAAAATACAAATTTAGGAAAAAAAGGGAATAATCATTACGGAATGACCCCAAAAAATCCAAAAAACGGTTATAACTTCCAAAGAAATTAACAGATCTTTATGAAACTTGATAATTATTTTCCTTAAAGTAAATGACACCCTCTAAAAACAACAAAATACAAATTTAAGAAAAAATTAGTATAATTATTACGGAATGACCCTAAAAAAATTCAAAAAACGATTATAACTTCGAAAGAAATTAACAGATCGTTATGAAACTTGGTGATTGTATTTTTTGCTATGATATTTTTTCTTTAAAGGCAAAAAAGTACAAATTTAGGGGAAAAATTAAAATTTTTACGGAATCACCCAAAAAAAAAATCCAAAAAAACGCTTATAACTTCTAAACAAATTAACAAATCGTTATGAAACTTGGTAAGTATGTAGTTTGCAATAAGTAATATTATTAAAAAACGAAAAAATACAAATTTAGGAAAAAAACTATAAAATTAATACGGAATGACCCCAAAAAAAATCCAAAAAAACGCTTATAACTTCTAAATAAATTAACGGATCGTAATAAAATTTGGATATTGTGTTCTTTACCATGAATTTCACTGTTTAATATCAAAAAAAAAAAAAATTTGGAAAAAAAGCGAATAATAATTACGGAATGGCCCCAAAAAAAATTCAAAAAACGCTTATAACTTCTAAACAAATTAACGGATCGTTATGAAACTTGGAAATTATAATCTTTGCTATGAGTGACACCCTTTAAAATCGAAAAAATACAAATCTAGAAAAAAAAACCGAAAAATCATTACAAAATGTTCTCAAAAAAATTTAAAAACTTAATTTATATAGCAAAAAATTAGTTATTAAGTGATACTAATTAAATTTTTCATTAATTCAGATTTATTTATAGAGATTTACAGAATAATTTTACTTTTTTGACCCCCTCTTTGTATCTAATTTAATCTCGTGACTAATACAAAAAAAAACCGAGTAAATTTTATAAAATCTTGAATCCTCTATATATGGGTTTTCGGAACCGCTATCGATCATTCGTTTTAAAATATGTTCTCTTTCACGACGACTTTTTTCGATATATCACAATCAAATACATTCATGTCATTTTGGTGAAAAGGAAAAATTTCTCTATTTTTATTTATTTTTTTCTTTTTTTCTTATATTGATTGAAATATTTTCCTCAAATGTATTATATAAAATATGTATATATATATATATATATAAAGATGCGTGAATTTCTTTGATTATAATATAAGAAAGGAGAAAAAAAAAAAATTGATGTCGACATATATATCAAAATGATTCACAGACACAACACACCGGAAATTACAGATTGTTTCGACCCAATGATGAGTCTCTTCTGCTACTGCGAGGGTCAATTGCCTTTTTTATTTAAAAAAAAATTTTTTTTTTAATTAAATTAAAAAAATTAAAACTTAAAAAAAAAATTTCTAAATTTGTAAATTAAAAGTACATTTTTTGATGATACTTATTAAATATAATTTTACTAATTTCTGAAGAATGTACCCGGAGAAAAAAATATATTATTTCTCTGTGAGGAAAATAAATATTTATTTGATTCAAATAAATATTTCTTTGTTTTAAATATATATATTTCTTTGTTTTAAATAAATATTTCTCTATTTTAAATAAATATTTTATTGTTTTACGTAAATATTTCTTGGTTTCAAAAAATATTTCTTTGTTTTAAATAAATATTTCTCTATTTTAAATAAATATTTCACTATTTTAAATAAATATTTTATTGTTTTACGTAAATATTTCTTTGTTTTAAATAAATATTTCTCTATTTTAAATAAATATTTTATTGTTTTACGTAAATATTTCTGTGTTTTAAATAAATATTTCTTTGTTTTAAATAAATATTTCTCTATTTTAAATAAATATTTCACTATTTTAAATAAATATTTTATTGTTTTACGTAAATATTTCTTTGTTTTAAATAAATATTTCTTGGTTTCAAAAAAATATTTCTTTGTTTTAAATAAATATTTCTTTGTTTTAAATAAATATTTCTCTATTTTAAATAAATATTTTATTGTTTTAAATAAATATTTCTCTATTTTAAATAAATATTTCTTTGTTTTAAATAAATATTTCTCTATTTTAAATAAATATTTTATTGTTTTAAATAAATATTTCTCTACTTTAAATAAATATTTCTTTGTTTTAAATAAATATTTCTCTATTTTAAATAAATATTTTATTGTTTTAAATAAATATTTCTCAATTTAAATAAATATTTTATTGTTTTACGTAAATTTTTCTTTGTTTTAAATAAATATTTCTCTATTTTAAATAAATATTTTATTGTTTCAAATAAATATTTCTCTATTTTAAATAAATATTTTTTAGTTTCAAATAAATATTTTTTCGTTTTAAATAAATATTTTTTTTTGTTTCAAATAAATATTTATTTCTTACAAATAACTATATTTTTTTCTTTCATATAAATATTTAATTGAATTAAATACATTTTTTTTATTTAAAATCAAAGTAAAAAAAAAAGTTCCATTCTCTAAGACAATTATATTTTTATTTGATTAAAATTAATTTTTACTTGTTTCAAATGAATATTTATTTCTTTCAAATAAATTTTATTTCAATTTAATAAATAATAAAAAATTTATTTTATTTATGCTTTAAAAAAATTTTATTTCTTTTAAATAAATACTTATTTCTTTTAAATAAATTTTATTTCAATTTAATAAATAATAAAAAATTTATTTTATTTATACTTTAAAAAAAATTTATTTGTTTCAAATAAATATTTAGTTTTAAACAATTTTATTTCTTTCAAATAAATATACTTATTTTTTAAAATAAATTTTTATTTTTGAGTTAAATAAAAATTTTATTTGCGCCAAATAAAATTTTATTTACCCCAAATAAAATTTTATTTTCTCGTACTGAATAAAAAATTTTTTTTTTTATTTAAAACAAATAAAAAAAATTATTATTCTCTGAGATAAAATAAATATAATTTTTATTTAATTTTAAAATAAATTTTATTTTGCCGCAAAAATAAATGCCGCAAATAAAATATTTCTCTGAATGTTTAATGTTTAAAACACTTTTTTTTCTTTTTTTTCTATTTGTTGATTTTTTTATATTCTTAATAAAATATTTAAAATATCAGAGAATAACGATAAAAAAAAAATCTTCTAAATAGCAAAATTGAACACGTTCTGACATCTGTCGCACATTTAATGAAATATCTCAAAGAAAATGTTATGTTAAATTAAATTTAAAAAAAAAAAAATATTTCCCATTTACAAAATGGAAAAAGAAAAAATTTCTTCAATTGGATTAAAAAAAATTTTTTAAAATAAAAGTTAATTTTAAAAAAATTATTTACAGTTTAAAACATTATTTTTAAGAAAATATTTTTTTTATACAAAACAATATTTAAATGTAATTTTAATTAATTATAATTATAATTAATTATTATTAATAATAATTAGCAATTACAATTAATTATTATTATTAATAATTAGAATTACAATTAAGTATTATTATTATTATTAATAATTAAAATTATAATTAATTATTTTTAGTAATAATTATTATTAATTTATAATTTAAAAAAATAGTAAATAATTTATTATTCTTAATATTATTGAATATATATATATATATATATATATATAATAAAATATACAAATAAGTAAATTATTATTTTTAAATTAAAATAATAAAAATTATATTAAATTAATTAATGCTTAATAAAAATTAATTTTAATAAATATTGATACAAAATTCAAATTGAAAATATAATATTTACCTTCCCAGCCGTGCGTTGGAGAACGTAAATTATCGTAAATTTCATAATTTTCAATAATCAACCTACCCAACTCTGTGATTAACAGTTGTTTGTGTATATAGCCAACAAAAGGATTATAGCGTTGACGTTTAGCAATTTGACAGCACAAACACACATTCGTGACATAATTTTCCTCTTATTCACGTCTCAACACATTGTGATTACACATTACTTTTTTCTCTATTCTTTTTTTTCTTCCTAAACAATGCAACACAAAAAACAAAATCAATTTTACATCAATTTTTTCTCATAAAAAAAAAAAAAAAAATTTTTGTGAGGTTATATATAACGAATATAATTTTCTGTGCGGCAATGTCTACGCAAAATAAACAGTTTTCAACTTCCATTAATATTAATAATAATTTGTGACGAATTTATTTATTTTTTTCTTTCATTTCATTTTTACCGTGACGGAAATTTATTTATTTTTTTTTTTTTTTTCTATTTTAAAATCAACTTTTCTAGAAAAAAAAAAAATAATAATAATCAACAACGAAAATGATTGCACCTGAATATGGTTCGACAAATGCTGATTCAGTGAATGTTCATGTAACAGGAGAGAAAAATCCTCTAATTAAAAGGCGTAATCGTTTTTTGCAAATGTTTCGTAATTTTACAAGCAATGATAAAATTTCTAATCATGCAAGTGATGGATATGTCGAATTTAGTAGTTTGGGTACAGAAAGTACACGAACTTTGGGAACATTTGCTGGTGTTTTTAGTCCTGTCACACTTTCAATGTTCAGTGCCTTAATTTTTATTCGAATGGGTATGTGAAAAATTTTTATTTTTTCATTTGTTCTTAAAATTATTTTGCATTTATTTATTATTTAGAAAAAAGAAAAAATAATTACAAAACGAAAAAAAAAATTATAATTTTATATTTATTTTAATAATTATATTAATTAAAATAGTAAAGCAATAAAATTCATTCTAAATACTTTTTCCGCATAAAATAATAATAACAATATAATAATAATATAATAACAATGTAATAATAATAATAATAATATAAAAGTAATAACAATAATTACACTCGGATTATACGAATTTTTCGACTTTTTCCGACTTTTTTCAAAAGTACGAATTTTTTCGATTTATTTTATAATAAAATGCGACTTTTTGGAATTTTTTTTCATTTTTTTTTACAAATTTTTAAACAAAATACGTTTTTTTTTTTAGTATAAAATGCAGATTTTCTTCAAATCTTCTCTTTATTTCAATTATTTAACAAAATTTTTAACTAAAATTTTTCACTAAATTAATTATTTTTAATAATTTTCAATGAAATTCTTCACAAATTCAATTATCTTAAACTATTTTTCAAATTAAAATTTTTATGAAATTTAATAATTGTTTATAAGTTAAAAAAAAAAAAAATTAGGCAAATAAAATTACCGAAAAAAAATTTTTAATTCAAAATCACTTGAACATTTAATTATTTGCAAAAATTTCACGTATTTTTTAATGATTTTTATAATATTTTTCGAAAATTCAATTATTTGAAAGCATTTTTCAATTAAAAACTTTTGGAATTCAATTTTTTTTTTTGTAATTTCTAATAAATTTAGCAACAGAAATTACTAAAAATTGCTCTTTATTATAATTATTGTCTAAAATTTAACAAAATCTATTGAAATTCGATTCTTTTCGAAAAAATTCAAATTCCAAATCAATTAAAATTTAATTATTTTCTAAAATTTTCAACTCAAAATCAATTAACATTCAATTCTTTTCCAAATTTTTAATTCAAAATCAACTAAAATTCAATTATTTTGTAAAATTTCAATGCAAAATTAATTAAAATTTAATTATTTTCCAAAATTTCATTTGAAATGCAATTATTTTAAAAATTTTCAATTTAAAAGCTTCTGAATTTTAATTATTTCTAAAATTTTTCATCTAAAATTTTTTGTAATTTAATAATTTCAATTATAACTCTCCTATAATCTATTTATTTTACAAGATTTCATGAAATATTCCAAAAAAATTCAATTATTTTCAAACATTACAATTTAAAATCAAACTAAAATTCAATTATTTTCCAAAATTTGAAATCAAAATCAATTAAAATTCAACTATTTTCAAAATTTTCATTTCAAAATCAACTAAAATTAAATTAGTTTGAAAAATCAATTAAAATACAATTATTTTCAAAAAATTCAGTAACAATCAATTTTTTCAAAATTTTTAATTCAAAATCAATTAAAATTCAACTATTTTCAAAATTTTCATTTCAAAATCAATCATTAAATTAGTTTCCAAAATTTCCATTCAAACTCAACTAAAATTCAATTATTCTTAAAATTTTCAATTCAAAATCAACTAAAATTCAATTATTTTCTATAATTTCAATTCAAAATCAACTAATTCAATTATTTGCAAAAATTTCAATTCAAAATCCAGTAAAATTCAATTTTTCTAAAATTTTTAATTCAAAATCAACAAAAATTCAATTATTTTCCAAAATTTCAATTAAATATCAAATTATTTTTAAATATTTCAATTCAATGTCAACTAAAATTGAATTATTGTTTAATATTTCAATTTAAATTCCAGTAAAATTCAGTTTTTTTTCAAAATTTCAATTCAAAATCAATTAAAATTCAGTTATTTTCCAAAATTTCAATACAAAATCAACTAAAATTCAATTATTTTCCAAAACTTTAATTCAAAATCAACTTAACTTCAATTACTTTCCAATATTTGAATTGAGATTCAATTATTTTAAAAATTTTCAATTCAAAATCAACTTAAATTCAATTATTTTGTAAAATTTCCATTCAAAACCAATTAAAATTCAAAAATATCAATTCAAATCCACTAAAATTCAATTATTATCCAAAATTTCAATTCAAAATCCAGTAAAATTCAATTTTTTTCAAAATTTTTAATTCAAAATCAATTAAAAATTTAATTATTTTCAAAATTTTCAATTCAAAATCAATTAAAATTAAATTAGATTCCAAAATTTCAATACAAAATCAACTAAAATTGAATTATTTTTTAAAATTTCAATTGACATTCAAGTATTTTCAAAATTTTTAATTCAAATTAATAATCAACTAAAATTCAATTATTTTTCAACATTTCAATAGAAAACTAATTTTTTTCCAAAATTTCAATTCAAAATCAATTATTTAAAAAATTTTACAATTCAAAATCAACTAAAATTGGTTATTTTTTAATATATAAATTCAAAATCAACTAAAATTCAATTATTTTCTGAAATTTCGATTAAGATTAAATTATTTCCAAAAATTTAAATTTAATATCAACTAATATTTTATTATTTTCCAAAATTCCAATTTAAAATCAACTAAAATTTAATTTTTTTTCCAAAATTTCAATTCAAAATCAACTAAAATTCATTTATTTTCTAAAATTTCAATTCATAACCAATTATAATTCAATTATTTTCCAAAACTTAATTTGAAATTCAATTATTTTTAAAATTTGTAGTTAAATTCACCAAAAAATTGAATTCTCTAACATTTTTTATAGAAATTAGTAAATAATTTATTTAAAAAATTCAATTATTTTTCAAAATTTTAATTATAATTGGTCAAAATGTTCTTCTTAACGAAAAATCTCAATTATAAACAGGCAAAACTTCAATTATTTTAAATATTTTCAACAGAAATCACAAAAATTCAAATTATTTAAAAAAATATATTATAATTTGTCGAAAACTTATTTTTTTCTTTGAAATCAAAATTGAATATCAGACAAATTAAATTATCTAAAAGAATTATAAAAATATTAAAATCTATTGTAAATCAATCATTGTATATATATTATCTAAAATTATTTAAAAAAATTATTTTTAACTCTGTAATATTTAATTATTGTCTAAAATTGAAGAAAATCTTTTTAAATTCAATTTTTTTCTAAAAATTTCTACTATTACTCTTTTAAAATTCAATTAATTTTAAGAATTTTTATAATAATCTTAAAAAATTCAATTATCTGAAAAAATTTTGTAATAAAATGTTTTTTAAATTCCATTTTTCGTATTTGAAACTATGTTTTGCTTAAAAAGGTTTCAAATTAAAGTATTTTTATCTGCAATTTCTAATAAATTTTTTTTTGTAAAATCATCAAAAATTAAAAATCACTTGCAATTCAATTAATTTGAAAAATCAAAATTGTAAATCTTTGAAAATTCAACCTACATTTTAAAAAATATTATCTAAAATTATTTGATAAAATTAATTTTAGTTCTGTAAAATTTTAATTATTGTCTGAAAATTAACAATAATCTTTTGAAATTTCAATTATTTCTCAAAATTTCAACTTTAACTCTTCCAAAATTATTATTATTTAAAAAAAAAATTTTATTTAAAAATCTGTAAAACTTGATTAAGTATTGTTTGAAATTTTTTTCGACCATCAAAAACTAAAAATTATGACAAAATTTTTAATTCAAATAAATTGTTTAAATCAGACTTGGAAAAAATTATAAAAATGTAACTTTAAGAATTTTTTTTTTTTAGAAATTTGTCCTATACTTAAATAAAATTTTGAAAATTTGTCTTTTAGTTCGATTATGAAATAGAAATAAATTTTCTTAATAATATTCATTAGAGAATTATTCTCATTACAGAATTAATCAAATGAATTTAATTATTTAAAGTAAAATATTTCATTAACCAATTAAATTTTGTTAAAATAAAAAAAAATCGACTTTTTCGACATTTTTTTTGGGAATATAAATCGACTTTTTTTGCTTTAAAGTCGATCTGAGGCTTGAATAATTATAAACTAAATAATTAAAATTTGTTACTCTTATTGTCAATATTTAAAACTAGTGTTTTTTTCAAATTATTAAAAAAAAAAAATTTTTTTTAACTTTAAAACAAAATTTAGAATAAATTTTTGAAATTTTTAGGAACAAAATTTATAAAGTTTAATTATATATATATATATAGTAGTAAAATAACAATTTTTCCATATATAATAATAATAATTTTCCCAATAAGAGATATGCTTTAATCTTTCAAAGTATGATTGATAAATTGTATGAATCATGCAAGATCACGTTGCAAATGTTTTTGTTAGAAGTATAATTTTTATATTTCCATGTGTGTTTCTCTAATAAGAAATTAATATATTATTTATTTTTGAAAAAAAAAAAAAAATTTTATTCCCATCATTAAAAATTTAATTGTTTAATATTATAATTATTATTGATGAAAATAGCAGTTTTCTATAAAAAAAAAGAGAGATAAAAATTTAACATTTTTCAGTAAATTTTAAAATCATATTTTTTTAAATTTAAATTTAAACCAAAAAATTTTTTTAATAATTTTTCTTTGTACGCTTATTTTTAATTTGAATGCGACAAAAAAATTATAATTTTTATGTAGCGGAAATTATTTAAATAAATAAATATAATATTAATTAATTAATCAATTAATTGTAATGAAAAATAGATTACAATAGATACCTTTTTTCAAAAAATAATTGAATTTTTGTAGAATATTATATAAAAAAAAAAATCATTGAAAATTAATTTAAATGGAAAAAAATTATAGTTAAAATAATAGTAATTAAATTACTATTATTTATTTTATTTATTTATTTTATTAGTAATTAAATTGGAAATTTATTTTATTTCAGGATATATTGTGGGAAATGCAGGACTACTAGTAACTCTCCTTCAATTTATAATAGCTTATGGAATTTTAGTATTTACTGTCTCATCAGTTTGTGCAATTTCAACAAATGGCGCTGTCGAAGGAGGCGGAGCTTACTGTATCCTTAAAAAAAAAATTAAAAATTCTTCGAAATACAAAAAAAAAAATATTTATATTTACAAAGAAAGAAAATTTAAAAATTAAAATAAATTTTTTAATTTAAATTAAAATAAATAAATTTTCAAAGTAGCAATTAGCGTTCAAAAAAAAATATGTTTCCTTTTTTTTTGAATATTATTTTAAAATTAAATTTTATTTAATTAATTATTAAAAAATAAAAAAAAAAATTGTCTTTAACCAAAAAAAAAAAAAATAGTTATGATAAGTAGAACATTGGGGCCAGAATTTGGCGGTTCAATTGGAACACTTTTTTTCATGGCAAATATTGTATCGAGTGCATTATGTATATCAGGATGTGCTGAAGGTCTTGTGGAAAATTTTGGACCTTCCGGTTATCTTGTTGGTAGCGCTGGACTTATTCCCGATGGTAGATGGTGGCGATTTTTGTATTGTACAATATTAAATACCTCAAGTTTATTGGTGTGTCTAATTGGAGCCGCAATGTTTGCAAAGACAAGTGTCGCAATTTTAGCCACCGTTTGCATTTGTCTTGGAAGTGTTGTCATTAGTTTTCTCGTTAAGGGGCCAATGGAGGTAAAAAAAAAAAAAAAAGAAATATAATTTTTCCATAAAATTATTACAAGTAAAATAATTAATTAGAATATTTTATTTCAATTATTTTTTATTAGAATAACTAATTTTTTTAAAATGAATTTTCATTTTTTGAAATTTGCATTTCACGAAATTTCTTCTAATACGAATTTTTACTTAAAACAAAATTTTTAGCTAACCGAATTTTTATTTTTTTTTTTTTTGCAAGAATTTCTTTTTTTATACAAATTTTTTTATTTAGTAGAATTCTAATTATTTAATTTAAATTATTATTTAGAATAACTAAATAATTAAAAATAATTAAAATAATTATATGTTATTTTGAAATTGCTTCTTTGTTAAAAAAAAAAAAATAAATACAGGTATTAATACCGGAGGCAAATAAATTGGTACGAAATGAAACGACAATCGTCAATGGAAGCTACACGGGTTTACTGTCCTCGACTTTGATGGATAATTTGTACGCAAATTATAGCGCCGATTATTCAAGTGGCGGTGTAATGTCCGATTTTGCAAGTGTATTTGGTGTTCTTTTCAGTGGAGTTACGGGAATTATGGCTGGTGCCAATATGAGTGGTCAGTTTATTTAATGAGAAAATTTTTTTCTTATTTTTTTTTTATTATAATTATAAAATTAACAATTATTTCATTGTTATAATTTTAAAATTAAAATTGTTTTTTTTTTCAATATAATTATAAAATTAAAATTATTTTTTTATTATAATTATAAAATTAAAATTATTTCATTATTATAATTTTAAAATTAAAATTATTTTGTTATTATAAAATTAAAATTATTTTTTTAATAATAATTATAAAATTAAAATGAATTTAATTTTGCTATTTATTATTTTAAGGTGAACTGAAAAATCCAGGTCACAATATTCCAAAAGGAACATTATCTGCAGTTTGTTTTACATTTGTCTGTTATATTTTACTATCCGTACTGACGGCAGCCACAACAAGTCGTTTTTTGTTGCAAAACAATTTTCTCTACATGATGCCAATTAATATATGGCCACCTTTTGTTGCTGTTGGAATTCTAACAGCGACATTTAGCGCGGCTCTTAGTAATCTCATTGGTTCAAGTCGAGTTCTCGAGGCTCTTGCAAAAGACAATATTTTTGGTGAGTTCCTCTAATTTTTCTTCTATTTTATCAACAAAGGTGGTGAATTCTATTTTTTCAAAATAAATAAATAAATGAAAATTATGAAATTATAAAAATTTGAAAATATTTATTTTCTAGGATCTGGCCTAAATTATGTTACAAAAGGTACATGGCGAGGAAATCCACTCGCTGCTGTTTTAACATCATGGACATTGGTTCAAACAATTTTATTAATTGGCTCATTAAACGTTATCGCACAAATTAATTCCGTTCTATTTTTACTGAGCTACTTGGCCACAAATTTGGCCTGTCTTGGTCTAGAGCTCGCAAGTGCACCTAATTTTCGGTAATTATTATCAATTTTCATTCTTTTTCATTTCTTAATTTTTATTTTCCATTTATTCTATTTATTAATTCTTATTTTCTATTTATACTATTTAATAATTCTTATTTTCTATTTATTCTATTTATAATTTCTTTAAAAAAAATTTTTTGTCACGTATTTAAAATAATTAATTTCAAATTATTTCCATTTTTTGGAAATAATTTTAAACCCAGTAAATTTCTAATGTATCAATATTCGTTCGATAAATATAAACTAAATAATCGTCGGGCTAAAAATACACGCTTCACATGGGGAAATTTTATTTGAAAAAAGGAGAAAAATAGGTTAAAATCTAAATGTATATTTTCCTTAATCAAAAAATGGTTTAAATAATTTTTCGATTTTATCAAACCGAAAACCATCTTGAAAATATAAAAAACTTGATTTTATTCATATTTTTCAAAGAAATGGAAATTTTTAATTTATTGAAATCAAAATTTTATTAAATTAAATTTTTAAAAAAAAAATTTATTTTCTGAAAAAAATTTTCATTTTTCCTACTTTAGGCCTCGGATTGACTTTAGAAAGAGAAAGAAGTCGTTTTAGTCGATTTTAATTACAATAAATATCGAAAAATTCGATATTTTTTATTTTTTAATAAATTTTATTAATAACTATTTCATTAATATTAACATTAATTATTAGTAATTAAATAAATTTTTTTCTAATTCTATAATAAGAATGTTTCACAGGAAAATTTACATCAACTTTTTTTTAACCTTCAGAATTAAACTAATTGACAAATTTTCAAGATTTCAATTCAGTAGGACAAAAATTTGAAAAATAGTAAATTTCAAGTTAAAAGAAGAAAAAATTCCAAGTCATTGGACAAATTATTCGAATTCAAAATTTTTGGCAAATGTTTTAAATAATTAAATTTTTCAAAGAACTTGATTAAAATATAATTGAAAAAAAATTAATTCAATTGAAATTGTTGTAAATTTGAATTGCTAAAAATTATTGACAAAATATTAAACAGTAATTGAATTTTAAAGAAATTTAAAAAAATTTGAATTTTTGAAAAATTGAATTAAAATCAAATAATTAATTTAGCGAAGAATTTTTGATACAAATTTTGAAATTAATCAAATTTGAAAGAAATATATTTAAGTTTTTCAGAAATAATTAAAATTTCTTGAGATATAAAAAAAAAGAATTTTGGTAAATTTCAATTGAGGAAGATTTTTTACAAAATTCAGAAGATAATTGAATTAAAAAAAAAATTTTAATTGAAAAATGTGTTAATTAATCGAATTTTTGAAGACTGATTAAAGTTATCAGAAATAATTAATTCAACAAAGAATAAAAGTTAAAAATTTGAAAAATTATTAAATGTTAAAATAGTTGCAGTTACAATTGTTGAAAACAATTAAATTTCAAGAGATTTTTAATAAAAAAAAATATTCTCTAAGAATATAATAAAGAAAATTTATTTGGAAAAAACTTTCAAAATTTTAATAAAATAGGACAAATTTCTAAAAATACATTTTTACTTTCAATTTTTTAATTTTTTAAAATCTAATTTAAGCAATTTAAAATTTTGGCATACTTTTTAGTTTTAATTGTCAAAAAAATGGTCGGACAATAAAGTTTTACAGTTTTTTAAATTATTTTCTTTTTTTTAATAATCGAAGTGCAGATTTTAAATTTGAAATAAATTTTCTGCAAATTTAAATGGCTGTAGGATTTTTTTTTTAATTTCTAACAATTCAATTTAAGAGTTTTTGTTTGAAACTTTTTTTAAATAATTGAATTTTTATTGAAATTTAAAAATTATTAAAAAATAATTCAAATTTTGAAGAGTTTTGTTTGTTTTGTTAAATTACAAACATTAATTAAATTTTACAAAATTGAAATTTCGAAGAATATTATGAAAATCATTAAAAGTAATTGAATTTCGAAAGAGTTATATAGTTGAAATTTTTTTTTCCGAAAGTTTTAGATAGAAAATTTATAGAAAAAAATTAAATTTTAGAAGGTTTTAATTTGAAATTTTGAAAATAAATTTAATTTTAGTTGATTTTAAATTGAAAATTTTTAAAATAATTGAATTTTAGTTGAATTTGAATTAAAATTTTGGAAAATAATTGAATTTTAATTGATTTTGAATTGAAATTTTGAAAATTAATTTAATTTTACAACATTTTTGAATTTAAATTTTTAAAATAATTGAATTTTAGTTGATTTTGAATTTAAATTTTGGAAAATAATTAAATTTTAATTGATTTCGTATTGAAATTTTGGAATCTAATTTAATTTTATTAGATTTTGAATTGAAAATATTTAAAATAATTGCATTTGAAATGAAATTTTGATTTGAATTGAAATGTTTGGGAAATTAATTTAATTTTACTTGATTTTCGAATTTAAATTTTTAAAATAATTGAATTTCAGTTGATTTTGAATTGAAAATGTTAAAAAAAAATTAATTTTGAATTAAAATTATAGAAAGTAATTGAATATTAGTTTGATTTTAAAAAGAAAATTTTTAAAATAATTGCATTTTAAATGAAATTTTGGAAAATAATTGAATTTTAATTGATTTTGCATTTAAATTTTGGAAAAATTGAATTTTTAGTTGATTTTGAATTGACAATTTGGAAAATAATCGAATTTTACTTGAAATTTTTAAAAATAATTGATTTTGAATTAAAATTTTTTAAAAATTTGAATTTCAGTAGATTTTGAATTGAAATTTTTTTAAATAATTGCATTTTAAATGAAATTTTGGAAAATAATAGAGTTTTAATTGGTTATGAATTGAAATTTAAGAAAATAAATGAATTTTAGTCTGATTTTGAATTGAAAATTTTTAAAATAATTGAATTTTATTTGAAATTTTTGAAAATAATTAAATTTTAATTGATTTTTAATTGAAATATTTCGAAAATAATTGTATTTCAAAAGATTGTCTTAAATTTCAAACAATAATTAGAATAAGACATTTTTTTTAGTAATTTCTGTTGATAAAGAAGTTATTAGAAATCACATTAAAAAAAAAAAAATTGAATTCCAAAAGTTTTTAACCAAAAAATGCTTTCAAATAATTGAATTTTCAAAGAATTATTATAAAAATTATTAAAAAATAATTGAAATTTTTGCAAATAATTAAATTTCAAGTGATTTTGAATTAAAAAATTTTTTTCGGTAATTTTATTTGCCTAATTTTTTTTTTTTTTTTTTTAACTTATAAACAATTATTAAATTTTATACAAATTTTAATTTAAAAAATAGTTTAAGATAATTGAATTTGTGAAGAATTTCATTAAAATTATTGAAAATAATTATTTTAGTTCAAAATTTTGTTAAATAATTGAAATAAAGAAGATTTGCATTAGATACTAAAAAGACGTATTTTATTGAAAAAATTTTCAAAATAAATTTTGAAAAAAAGTCGATAAATGTCGTATAATCCGAAGCTTGTAATTTTTTTTTTTTTTTTTTTTTTTTTTTTTTTTGTTCAAATTTTTATTTTTATTAAATATCCCATTATTCGTGTTTCAATATAAAATAGGGAAAATAATTTGAAAAAAGGGGGGAAATATTAATAAAAGAAAAAAAAAGGACAATAAAAGAGGAATTTTTTAAAATAGAGGAAAAATAGGTGGAATAAGGTAAAACACTGTGAAGCCTGAAAATATTTTGTAGACAAATTAAAAAAAAAATAATACAAAAAAAAAAATTTAATTTACAGCCCTACTTTTAATTTCTTCACATGGCACACGGCAACAATTGGCCTATTTGGAACATTAATAATGATGTTCACCATAAACAGTATTTATGCATCGAGTAGCATTATCATTTGTCTTGTATTGGTGATTGTTTTACATTTATTTTCACCAAGTAAAAATGCCGCATGGGGTAGTATATCGCAAGCATTAATATTTCATCAGGTACGAAAATATCTTCTAATGTTGGATTCACGTAAAGATCATGTAAAATTTTGGCGTCCACAAATTCTACTTATGGTATCGTCGCCACGTTCATCATGTCCACTCATTGATTTTGTCAATGATTTAAAAAAAGGTGGCCTCTATGTGATTGGTCATGTGAAAATTGGCGAATTTGCCGCACAAAATCAAGATCCAACAATTGATGACTATCCAAATTGGTTAAGTCTCATTGATCATTTAAAAGTAAAGGCATTCGTTGAGATGACAGTGACAAAAACAGTACGCGAGGGACTTCATCATCTTTGTCGTATCTCAGGAATGGGAGCAATGAAACCAAATACAATTGTTTTGGGATTTTATGATGATCATGCGCCACAAGATTTTTTTAAAACCTCACAATATTCAACGACAAATTTTGAAACTGGCACTTATGCAAATGGTTCTGTATTTCCATTAAGACAAAGTGGCGCTGATAAATCAATGGACATTGAACAATATGTGGGAATGTGTTCGGATGTTTTGAAAATGAAAAAAAATTTATGTCTCTGCAGGAATTTTCATAGTCTGGATAAATTGCAATTTGTCAAGTAAGTGTCTTTTTTTTTTCTTTTTTCTTTCTCAGACATAAAGAATATAAAAATCTAGTAAATAAAAATACAATAAATTAAAATTAAAGAAAATAAAACACAGTAAATAAAAAAAGCAAAAATAAAGAAAATTAAAGTATAAAAAATAAAATACAGTAAGTAAAAATTAAAAAAGCAAAAATAAAGAAAATAAAAATATAATTATTAAAAATTATTATTATTATATTATATAATAATAAAATGCTTGGTCTGTTCTGCTGTCATAACTTGAAGTTGGCCTTTTCTGATTTCACGTGTTTTTTTGAATAGTAATCTAATGACGTGTCAAATTTTGACAATTCTTTTTCTCATTTTGGCTAAAGTTGTATAATTGTGTTTCCAAATTTCGGAATAAGTTTCTTTAAAATTCCAAATTCGAAAATTCAATTCACGAAGTTGAAGTACACAACGTTTATCAACGAAATTTTTTTTAAACTTGTATATTCATTCAAAAATTGTATACAAATAGAAAAAAATTTATGATGAGAAAAAACATGCGCCAGGAAATTTCGTACAAGATAGTAATTTGAAAAAAATTAATTTTTAAAAATTAATTTTTAAGGTACCAGGGGCCAACGAATATCTATTAAATATTAATTATAAAAACACAGGCCTCGAATCAACTTAAAGACACAAAAAAAGTCGATTTAGTCGATTTATATTCCAAAAAAAAGTGGAATTGTTTTTTATTTTAACAAAAATATTTTACAGATTTTTAAATAATAATCCTTTTCGAAGGGTTAAAGTTGAAATTTTTAGAAATAATTAAATTTCAAAAGATATTGTTAATTTTCAAAAACAATTATTAAATTTTACAGAACTAAAAATAATTTATCAAACAATTTTTTGGAAAACATTTTTTAAATTTAATTGAATTTTCAAAGATTTAAAATTGAGATTTTTGAAATTAATTGAAACTTTAAGTGATTTTTAATTAAAATTTTACATGCTTTCACTAAAAATTTATTAGAAAATGCGGACAAAATACAATAATTTTGAAAATCATTTTTAATTGAAAAATGGTTTCAGATAGTTGAATTTTCAAAGAATATTATTAAAATAGTTAAAAATAATTGAATTTCCTTAGAGCTATAATTGAAATTATTAAATTTCAAAAAAACATTTTTCGATGGAAAATTTTAGAAATAATTAAATTTTAGATGGTTTTAAATTCAAATTATTGAAAATTCAATTAATTTTGAATTCAAATTTTTGAGAACAATGAAATTTTATTTGATTTTAAATTTGGAAAATAATTGAATTTCATTTCATTTTGAATTGAAAATTTTGGGAAATAATTGAATTTTAATTAATTTTGAATTGACAATTTTAAAAATAATCGAAATTTTAGTTGAAATTTTTCAAAATAATTAAATTTTAATTGATTTTGTATTGAAATTAAAAAAAAAATGAATTTTAGTGGATTTTGAATTGAAAATTTTGAATTTTAATTGATTTTGAATCGAAATTTTACAAAATAATTGAATTTTAGTGGATTTGAATTGATATTTTTGAATTTTAATTGGTTTTGAATGGAAATTTTACAAAATAATTGAATTTTAGTTGATTTTGTATTGAAATTTTTGAAAATACATTAATTTTAATTGATTTTAAATTGAAATTATTGAAAATAATTAAATTTCAGTTGAAATTTTGGAAAATAATTGAATTTTAGTTGATTTGGAATTGAAAAATTTGAAAAAAAAATTAATTTTGAATTGAAATTATGGAAAATAATTGAATTTTAGTTGATTTTGAATTAAAATTTTGGAAAATTATTAAATTTTAATTGATTTTGCATTGAAATTTTGGAATCTAATTTAATTTTAATTGATTTTGATTTGAAAATTTTTAAAATAATTGCATTTTAAATGAAATTTTGAAAATAATTTAATTTTAGTTGATTTTGAATTAAAAATTTTGAAAAAATTGAATTTTACTTGATTTTGAATTGAAATTTTGGAAAATAATTGTAATGTAATTGATTTTGAATTGAAGTTTTGAAAAATAATTGAATTTTAATTGATTTTGAATTGAAATTTTGGAAAAATTGAATTTTTAGTTGATTTTGAATTGAAATTTTACAAAGAATTGAATTTTAGTTGGTTTTAAATTGAAATTTTTTTTAAATAATTGCATTTTAAATGAAATTTTGGAAAATAATTAAATTTTAATTAATTTTGCATTTAAATTTTGGAAAAATTGAATTTTAAGTGATTTTGAATTGAAATTTTTGAATTTTAATTGGTTTTGAATGGAAATTTTACAAAATAATTTAATTTTAGTTGAATTTAAATTAAAAATTTTTAAAGATAATTTAATTTTAATTAATTTTGAATTAAAAATTTTGGAAAAATTGAATATTAATTGATTTTGAATTAAAATTTTTTAAAAATTTGAATTTCAGTGGATTTTGAATTGAAATTTTTTTAAATAATTGCATTTTAAATGAAATTTTGGAAAATAATTGAATTTTAATTCGTTTTGAATTGAAATTTTACAAAATAATTGAATTTTAATTGGTTTTGAATTGAAATTTTACAAAATAATTGAATTTTAGTGGATTTTGAATTGAAAATTTTTAATTTTAATTGATTTTGAATCGAAATTTTACAAAATAATTGAATTTTATTGCATTTTAAATTGAAAACTTGGTAAATAATTAAATTTGAAATTGAAAATTTTTTATAATTATTGGATTTTTAATTGATTTTGAATTAAAATTTCGGGTAATAATTGAATTTTAGTTTATTTTGAATTGAAATTTTTAAAAAATAATTCAATTTTATTGTGATATTTTTTTTTAAATTATAAACAATTGTTAAATTTCATAAAAATTTTAATTGAAAAAATAATTTTGATTTAATTGAATTTGTGATGTATTTCATTAAAATTATTAAAAATAATTAATTTAGTTAAGAATCATTTTAGTTCAAAAATTTGTTAAATAATTGAATTGAAGAAGATCTGAAGAAGATCTACATTTTACACTAAAAAAAAATGTATTTTATTTACATTTTCTTTTCAAATGTAAAAAAAATGTCGCATTTTATTAAAATAAATCGATAAAAGTCGTATTTTTGAAAAAAGTCGGAAAATGTATAATCCGAGGCCTGTAAAGATATAATTTTCATTATTATCATTTAATATATAATAATATTCTTATAAATTAAATTATTATTGATAATATTAATCTTTAATTTCTTTATAACAAACAATTAAATACTCAATTTGGGGCGCCTTTAATTTTGCTAATAAAGAAAATAAAAATCTAGTAAATAAAAATACAATAAATAAAAATCAAAATTAAAGAAAATAAAAGTAGAGAAAATAAAACACAGTAATTAAAAAAAAGCATAAATAAATAAAATTAAAGTATAAAAAATAAAATACAGTAAGTAAAAATAAAAAAAGCAAAAATAAAGAAAATAAAAATATAATTGTTGTCGCCGTAAGAAACAACTAATAATATTATTTTTGTGAGTTGGTTACTCAACTGAGAACAAACTCTACTTTATTTATTTAACAAGCAAAGTACAAAAACTTGGAGATAATCAATCCTTCCAAAGCTTCACTGAGTCTTTTTGGAAGACAATTTACTAACCGTGCTATCACTTTGAGTAGCGACTAATTAATCTGACCACACCTGCTTATGCATTAGTTTTAAAGGACTGTGCAATAGTCCCCACTCTTTACAATACACACTCATACTTCATACTGTCGACACCTCCCCCCTTTAAACTATCGATGATTTTCAAATTAACATTTATTTAAAAATTCGATGCAGGTTTCCTTCTAGGAGGTTTCGAATGTAATTCAAAATTTAATCCTGGTAGATTTTTCTCAGTAGCTACAAACTGCGTTGGACCTGTATTGTTAAAACTACGATTTGTATAACAGTTCCCAATACAATATCTTATTAAATTTAAAATACACTGTATAATTCCCGTTTTAAACATTATATAGAAGATTATAATTACAATACTTGCATATCCTATGTACTCTAAATACGTCAAAGACTTTTCTGTCCAACTCTTAAATCTTTCATGTGTCTTTAATTTATCTAGCATCGCTTCGGTATCTTCCATACTAATTTTCGCTTCTTTTATTCTATCTAAATTAAGAAATCTTGGTAATTTTGGTAATTTATCATTAATTAATTTTAAATCGTCTTTCTCAAAATCTAATTCTATTGTGATTTTATCCTCAAAGTATCTACTTATATTTTTCATCGGTTTATTAAGATCTAGCTTTATTTCATTCGTATATAGCTTACATCTATTCCCTGTTATTAGATAAGTACCCAATTTTTTACCATTATAATTATTATTTTCGCATACTATATCTATAACTGTTTCTTTTACAAATATACATATATAACCTGTTTCTGTTTTCATAAATGTTTCATCGCTGAGTAGTAATGGAGATTTTAGACAATTTCTGTTAGACATTTTTATTAAATCCGCGTCACAATTTTCTGTTTGATATATTAAATAATTCGGTTGATTTCTCTTACAAATTTTATAGTCTTCTATATTACTACATTTTTCTAAATCTGTCTTGTCAATCGGTACGTATTCAGTTTTCGTTTGCAAAATATATTCGTGGTTTGGTAAAAACACCATAGCTTGACCATTAATTATTCGTTCTGGAATTGGTAAACTTCTTACTATTGTCATTTCTTTTTCATCTAAAATCGGAATTTTAATTATGTATACTAAGTGATGATTTTTTATAATTGTAGTAATTTCACTAATGTCTATAATATGTTGATAGTTTCTTTCATCGCTTTCGATGTGATATTTAGTCCTAAATTCCTTTTCAAATCCATCAATTGTTTCATGCAACATTCTAGGCGTTAAAATTTGGGGGTTTATAATTCCATGCTTCCCTAAATTAATTGAACTTATTGCTAAATCTATGTCGTCGTTCATTTCTTCTATTAACGTTTCAGCTATTAA